CAACAACTTCTCATCTCCTAGGGGAAACACAAACCCTACCCCTCACACAAAAACAGGCCAGCTACTTCCATAGGCCAGCTCCCCCATTGGCCCTTGTGGCTCAGGTGTGAGACATCTGGGCTGATGCTGCATTAACCTTTTGCTACCCACCAGAACCCCTTGTGTCACTGCAGTGTGCTGAGAGGTAACCACTCTCAATCTTGTCATTTTTAATTTTAAAACTCAGGTTTTCAAAGCCAAGCGTTTCCTGTTTGTCCCACAGAAGGGAAAAACTGAAGAGCAAAAGACAGATTTGCAGCAAAGAGTTTTCACTTTCATGCAAGCTATAAAGTATCTCATTCCCAAAATACCATGACTATGTGACAAGTGCAGATTTTAACATGAGATGCCGCTGCCTCCTCTGTTTCATAAAGTAGGTTTAATGCTACAGCTAAGAGACAATTCCCATCAGTAACCTCTCCTGAGCTTGTTGCTTGGAAAAGAGCAATTCCAGGTCTTCTTGCTTACCAAGCTGCTGACTTTGGCAATTAAGAATCCTCATCCTTTAGATCTTTCATTCCTTTTTTTATTTTATTTTTATTGACAGATGAATCTTGTGCTTAAAAGATGCTTATTTGTTTCCTCTTTTGTGCATCTGCTGTTAGCATAGGATGCCATGATCACTCTGGCTGTCCTGCACCCTGCAAGGCCAGTCTGTACAGTTGATGAGCCATCAGTGGAGGTCAGGCAGCATGCTGCATCAAACCCTTCTGTCTGAGTAGATATGGATTTATTGGCTCTTCAGAATAAGAAGGAATAACAAGAGGAGCCCTTGTTGCAGATAGCTGGGTGTGAAAGTACATGATGCAAAGGTACCAAATGCCAGGTACAGAGTAGTTTGCCTGAGTTGCACTGAAAAAAGAAGGCAATAGTAAGAAACTGCTCTGTATTCTGCTGAGAGTTTCACAAAAATGTATGATTTCATGTCAGGAGCCAATGAGGACTCTGCTGGCTGGATGCTGTGTGTCTCTACTACAGCCACCTCGTAGGTCTCACTTAAATGGAAGAGCTGCAGGTGGGAAGCAAGGTCACTGGGAGTGAGCTGAGGGCTGAGGTGGGTCCTGAACAGAAAGAAATCTGTGCTAGGAAGTAAATCTTACCTGCAGTAGCTCAGCAGGTGTGCTCTTACTAGTGGGATGTGCCCTGTGCTTTATGGAGTGCTAACAGTATCACAGTGGGAGCAGGGAGTCCCTTGAACTCAGTGATGAGCAAATTAATGCAAGGTGTAATGCTCTCTGGGGTTTATGAATTTAGCGCTAATTAGTGCTTCTCTTATCTATTTTAGGCAAGTAAATCTTCAATATCCCTTGTTAAATTGGAATCATCTTGTTTGTAGAAGCAAATCATATGGCAGCATTGATTTCTTTACCCAGTTACAGTCTGCTCTGTTTTTGCATTCTCTTTTCCTTCCTGACATGACTTATAACCAGGTATTCTGTATAAAGTTAGATTTATGGAGCAAATATTCTCCCCAGAGAAGGTTTTCTTTGAATGAAACCGACCAGCGAGGCGTTCATTTCTCACAGCCAATCCCAAATGTTACAGAGCCCCTCTTGACAGAAGTGACCCACCGTATTTACATTTATTTTCAGAGAGTCACTGAGGTTGGAAAAGACCTCTCAGATCCCCCAGCCCAAACCCAGCCTGCTCCACCATGCCCACTGCCCACATCCCTCAGTGCCACATCTCCATGGCTCTGGAACAGCTCCAGGATGGTGACCCACTGCCCCTTGGGCAGCTGTTGTAGCCTTTATTGTGTAGGAAAGCACTGATGGGGAAGAGAAAGCACTACGGCTTGTATAGTAAGAGTAGAGCCAGCCTGGCTGAGACAGAGGAACATCTTTTCAGTTCAACAGACATGAGAGCCATGGCTTATTTGAGCGGTGAATGGAAAATGTAGATAGAAGGTTACATCCCCTGATGACACTGATGTCTGAAATAATCAATAGTGAGCTCGTGGGTTAAAACAAACATGCACAACATGCAAATGCTGACAACAGTGTAATAACCCATGCAGAAACCATATGAAAATACATCATAAAACCTGCGGAATATTGGATGCTGTCAAGGTGGCTTCCTATGTGCTATGCAAATTAACGTGAAAATCTCGACTTTCTAATCAATTAGAAGGGATAATTTGGCAGCAGTATTAATAACCTCAGAAACAAATGTAGCGTGAAAGTCTGCAGCACTATAGGGAGGGTTGTGTGACCTCAGCTCAGCTCTGCAGACTTTGCCTTGTCTATGAAAACTCAAAAAGTGATACACATGCATCAGCCATTTCACTGCCTAGAAGAAGCAGATGAGGATTTTTCCTCATTCTCCTGTGTAAGGAAAGACATGATGGGGTCATTCCTGTTTATTTCTGTCAAACTGTTTCTCAAGGATAGTATTTTGCACTGTATGAGGCTAAAGAATTATTTTTACTTTTCTCTGCTGTGCCAGATAGAGTGCAAATGGTGTAGGCTGAGGCAACAACACTGTCTGCATTAACTAGCAGTAGGGGAGTCCTTTCTTCCTTCAGAGGGCTGCAGCTGCAGGAATAAGATGTGTGAGTGTGTAAGCTAAGCAGCAAGTAAATAAATTCCAGATGATGATGTAGAGGTGGTTAATACAAACCTTGCAGTCCTGCAAGCACTGTAGAACTGGAAAAGACCTTTGAGGTCAATTCATTTCCCTTCTGTCATAGGCAGGCCTCTGAAAGACTCTGGGTGATGAAGTGATCCAGCTCCACTGCAAAATTCATTTTTGCTACCATTCCTCTTACTGTAATTGTGCAAGAAGAGAAATCTTACTGCAGCTCCTTGGAAACTTAGAAATCTTCCAATTCCCAGCCTCAATATGCTCTTACCCAGTTTATTCACATCAGCTCTTCTGCCAAAATTCTGCTTCTGCTTTAATAGCACTTCCTTCTGTGTGCTTATCCACGATGTATTTAAAGGGAGCCCTCTCTCATGGCATGAGATGAAACAAGCCATCCTCTTTAAGTCTCCTTCCATATAACAGATTTGCCATATTCTGGATCACCCTTGCAGCCCTTTCCTTCACCTTCTCCAGTCTGAGCACAGGAACCAGAACCAGAACCAGCAGCTACAGACTGTCTTACCAGAGGTTTTACAATGCCATTAACATTCCCTTCTTTCTCACTGCTATGCTGTGTGCTTGTACTGTCTGCACCTAGAATTGTTCAGGCATATAGATGGCATTTTGCAATTAACCATTGGGTGCTGGCATGCCATCTCATCTTGTACCACTTGTGCTCGTTGAGAGTGTGGTCAGCATCTCACAGGCAAAGCCCTTCAGTGCTTCTCATCTGGTGCTTTCTCATCCTTGATAGCCCCCGCGGAGTATTTCAGCACAAAGATGTTCCAGCAGCCTCTACAAATGCAAAGTGAATCATTCACAGAAAGCACAACTCATCCATCTCCTTTAGTGTCACCAATTAATAGCGGCTCAGGATGCCTTGAGATCTATAGCTGCTTAAAGGAAGAAAAACAGCCAACCCCTTCCTACAGTGCTGTGCTGACATTGTGTTTTGTGTGCTCTGCCTGTGCAAGGGAACTTTATTAAATAAACAAATGAGGGGGAGTGTGCAATGGCCTTTGGTGTGAGACTTCAAAGAAAGCAAGAAGACCGCTTATGTTTATCCAGGACGGGAAGGGAACTAAAAACTAAAACCAACTGGTAGGCAAATGATTTCTTACTATTGGAAAACATTTGTCATTCCGGAAGCCAATGTCTCTTGCTTCTGATTTGGATTATATGACTCCATGCTGCAGAAATTCGGGGACCATCCTTAGAAGGGGCAGTGTTGCTTTGACGAGCAGCTCAGGCTGGATCTGTGTGCTCCTTCCTCGGGTTGGCAGTTCTGGAAGCAAAATCGTTGCCCCCTTTGGTGGAGCTGCTGCCTTGAGCTCTCCAGCAGCCAAGCACCCCTGGTCAAATCCTGACAGACACCAGAATGCACTCCCAAACAGCTGCTGACACTGATGGGGGTTTTCTCTTCTTGTCCCCATCCCTCCCACCCATCTTGCTTCCTTGGCTGAGGCATAGGGGCTGCTGATAGCATTTCCCATTGAGCATGCTGGGTCTTGAAGGGGATTAATTCACTTCCAGTTAATCTGCCTGGGGAGAAGTCTGTGCCTAAGCGTAATGGAGGCTAATTAAACAGAAAACCATCCATTTGTGCTATCTCATTAGGGATTTGTCATAAAAACCTTATGTTCTCTTACAAACCTAAACAAGTGTGCTCGCCATGTGAAAAACAGCAATAAAACTGTCCACAGGGTTGTAAAGTTCTAAGCCGTCGTTTATACAGCCTGTCTGCATCCTGTAGGTAAGGAATGGCCTTTCTGCTGTCCTCAAAGCACCCTGCATAACGAGGGCATCCCTCCTTCGAAATGGGAAAGAGGGCCAAGCCCAGAGCTGACAGTCTTTTGGAGCAGATGCTTCTCTGTCTGGCCCTGATGGGAACCAGGGATCAGAAGCAGAGGACACTTGTTGTTTCAGATCTGCACTGAAGATGTTTGGAGGTTTACAAAGTGTAAATATAATGGGGTATCCCAGGAGATAGGAACATTGGGTCCCCCAGTGCCTGGTTTCTTCCTTAGTCCCAACTGGGTGTGTTCAGGAAAACTAAATTCCATATGGGTGATGGGAGACGTTGGATGATGGGTGCTGTTTTGCAGCAAGAGAAACTTACGAGCTGTGTCCTCCAAGGGAAAGTTTACCCAAGGGAAAATTAGTGTGGTCTATCTAAATGGCTGCTCTCCTTCATTCCTGTCCAGAAAGAGATTTTCCCTGGTCCAAACTCGACTAACTTCAGAGTTTCTAACAAAACAGGGCTTGTGCAGAAGTCATATGAGGGCAGGTCTGCAGACCTTCTGCTGCGCGGGAGGCGATCCGTGCTTTCCAGCCATGGGACAACCCCCCATGGTAATGCAGCTGGTGTCTCCCTGCAGGCATCCGAGGTGGAGCGGCAGCTCTCCCTGCAGGTCCACACGCTCCGGGAGGACTTTCGGGAGAAGAACTCCTCCAGCAGTCAACACATCGTGCGGCTCGAGAGCCTCCAGGCTGAGGTGAGTCACCTGTGCTTGGCCTTGCTCCTTCAGACAGCGTTCAGGGCTGCTGTCATCCATAGGGTGAACCCCTCTGTGCTTGGTGAACAAAACCAGCTGCTTGGGGTGAGCGAGGAGAAGGTTGGTAGCTGTGCTGGCCAGGTTGGCAAAGGACAACGTCAAGCACTGCCTCAGCCACAAGCAAAATGAATGGATGGGAAGGATCTTCCAGGACCTTCACCATGGAGCTGAATCACATCAGGCTTCTGTCTGTACAGCTTAACCTCTAAGGCCATGGTGGGAAGATCTGTAAGGTTTGGGTCCTTTTTGCTGTTTCCCATGCTTGCAAAGAAAGCAGCAATCTTCCCCTACCTCTGAGCCAGTCATGCATGGAAGTAGAATGATACATTAGCAGGATGTATAGCATTTTTTACTTCCCTTCCCTGATGAGAATCACTGGAACTAGTGGGATAGAAGGTGTCCAACCCTACCACCCTGCCACTTTGCTTCTTTTTAAGCTATCTGGAAGAGCTTTTCCTAAAATCTCTCAATTTCTTCTTTCCTGCTCCCACCTGCTCCCTGCTGGTCCCTCGCCTTCTCTTCCCCTCCCCTTGGTGTGGAGCAGCAGGTCCTTGAAGTAAGTATGGAGGCTTGGAGGGCGCTTGCCTACACGTGCACCCAATCACCATGCATGCATGTCGTTATGTATGCCTCACCTCGACTTCTTCCCATCTCTTGCTTTCCAGATCTGTCTTCCCTATTTGCATGGCTCAGGGCCCACGTTGGAGTCAGAATCACAGGGGTTGGAAGGGCCCCTTGGGGATTATTTAGTACAGAGCTTTGGCTTTCTCTTACATGGTCATTCACAGCGTGTTCCTCACTGGTTTGGATATCAAATGCTCTCAGTACAATCTCTGCATTATACCTCTTATTTTCCTTGTACCCCTTTTCTCCAACCCACACAAATCATGACAGTGGTGGGAAGAGACAGCTCAGAAACAATTACTCACCTACAGGCAGCTTTCTAATACCTACAGCAGCCTTTACCCTGCAGAAACAGCAAGATGTGCTTTGCTAATAGTCCTTCGTGCAGCCAAACATTTCCAGCAACATGGAAAACAACAAAAGACAGGGGCCCATAGAGGCCAAGAGAACAGTAGGATATGCTGAATTTGTCTGTCATCCATGTTGAAAGGAGTTGAAAAGAGACCATAGGGCATATTTAGGGTTGTACTGGAGTGGAGAACAGCATACACAGTTTTCAAAGGTCCCATGTGCACAAATCTGGAAAAAAGGTTCCTTTTTCGTGGTTAAACAAAAAGTGACCTTGGCTGGTGCTGATTCATCCTGTGCACCGTTCCCAGCTAAGTGAATCACAGAGGTTTTGCTTGGCACGTTGTCCCTCCTCACCTAAAATCACCGCCCTTGACAATTAAAAGAAATGAACCAATTTTAAAGGCATCCCATCTCTGGGAAATTAAAAATAAGCGTGGCACAGAAAGGAGCCTTCATGAATAAAAAGAAAGAAAAATCCCCAGTGAGAACCTGGTGAATGTACAACAATTTAGAAAAGCATACAGGCAGTGCATTACACAGCCCCGCAGGGAGCAGGAGCTCAGGGGCTCTTCTCCCTGTGCTCTCCAGCATCCATGCAGCAGAAAATCCCACCATCTGCTCAGGCAGGGATGGACCTGGAGCAGTAGCTAGTTTCATTCTTGCAAGTTTTAGGGTAGAAGGGGTAGCAGTTGTTCTCTTGCACATAGGTGCTGAATACATACACGTATATTTCGGGGGTTTTTTCTGCTTCATTTCTCTCATGGGGATGTGGTTTCCCCCATCTGCGCTTCCTGCAAAGTATGGGGTTCAAGCCAGCTCTCATCCCTCTGCAGATCAAAATGCTGACGGACAGAAAGCGAGAGCTGGAGCATCGCCTTAGTGCCATGATGGAGGAGAACGACCTGCTTCAGGGAACGGTGGAGGAGCTGCAGGACCGAGTCCTCATCTTGGAGAGACAAAGCCATGACAAGGACCTGCAGGTGAGAAGGCAGCAATGGGAGAGGGAAGAGGACAGGAGGTGGCAAATAGGCCAAGGATGTGGTTTGGGGTAAAATCAACCAGAAGGATAACAAGGAGCTGGGAGAATGGAAGAACTGAACATCTTTAAGTTGCACCGGGGAGGTTCAGGTTAAATATTAGGAAAAAAAAGAGTGGTGATGCAGTGGCACAGGCTGCTGAGGGAGTGATGGGGTCACCATGCCTGGAAGTGTTCCAGAACTGTGGGATGTGGTTATTGGGCATGGTGGGGTGGGCCGGGGTTGGACTCGGAGATCTTAGAGATGTTTTCCAACTGTAATGATTCCATGATTCTCTGAGGGAATAAAATGCAAGGATCTGTTCTCTGTGGAGATGGAAAAAAAGATGGAGCATCTTGATACAAAGACCAATTTGGGGAGAGCCGAGCAAAGGAACAGGAGGGGAGGCTGGGAGAAGAAGGGAAATGTAAAAGGAAGCAGAAAACACTGACTTTGTTTCATATCACTTAATGTTTTAGTAGCAGCATTGGCTCCAGAAGGGGGTCATTTACTCTAGCCTGGAGGACGGTGAAGCTCTCATAGCTTGGGTGATTTCCCAGCAAAATCCATCTCACCAAACATCGCTCCCCGGAGAAAAGCTGGCATGGCTGTAGCTTTGGGCATCTTCATAGAGAGCACAATTGTACCTCACTTTACTTTTACTTCACATCTGACAACCTCTTGCACCCCCAGCTCTTCAGAACAGTCAGAATCTTTTTTTCCCTCTCTTTAGAGGCACAAGAAAGCTGCCAATGTGTCAGACAGCAGCACCCTCCCCAGCACGTTCAGCTCTGCTGCTCACACAACACCTGGCTGTGCCCCAGCCCTGTGCACAGCTCCTGCCCAGGCAGAACACAGCTCAGTGCCTGTGAAATCACACAGTTGGGTGACCATGGATAAGCCCCAAAACAAATCAGTGCCAGTGCTGCGTCTTGTGTGTTTCAAACACTCCACTAACTCAGGTTGCAAAGCAGTGAATTAGGGAGTTTGACATCAGAGTTTTGTGGCAGAATGTTTATAGTTATAAGGAGACGTCTTTCAAGGTGTGTTTATATTGCTTTTCTTTTTTTGGTTCAGTTTCTGTTGTGTTAGCTTTAGTAAGCTTTTCTCAGCCAAGTCTCAGCTTCTTCACAGCATTCCTCATTTTAGCGCAGATTAACCTGCTGATTTCATCTTCCAGTGTCTAATAACATTTGGAGATTACTTAGCTCCAATAAACAGTAACATCAGCCAAGAGTGTTTTCCTTCTGGTTGGAAACCCTCTTTCATGCCAGCTCTTCCTCCCTTTCAGGTCCTTCATGAATCAAGAGATTTCATCCAGTCCATATCACCTCCACTAACACTGTTTCCTCTGCTTGTTTAATTTTCTTTGGAAGCTGCACCAAAGCCAGATGGAGCTCCAGGAGGTGCGGCTGTCCTACCGGCAGCTGCAGGGGAAGGTAGAAGAGCTCAGCGAGGAGAGAAGTCTCCAAAATTTCAACACAACCAGCACGTCCCTGCTGTCTGAGATAGAGCAGAGCATGGAGGCAGAGGAGCTGGAACAAGAACGAGAACAGGTATTTGCCCTCCTGCCCCTGACAATGCCCACAGACCTCACCAGCCCCAGAAAGAGATGTACAACGTTGGATCTGGGCTTGAAGCTGAGCCCACAGCCACTAATTTATAGAATCACAGAATTATACAATGGCCTGGGTTGGAAAGGACCACAATGATCATCCAGTTTCAACCCCCCTGCTCCATGCAGGGTCACTAATCACCATACCAGGCTGTCCAGAGCCACATCCAGCCTGGCCTTGAATGCCTGCAGGGATGGGGCATCCACAGCCTTCTTGTGCAACCTGTGCCAGTGTGTCACCACCCCACCTCTGTTAGGGTTGTGGTCCCAACTCTAGTAGTAAATTTCAAAACCAATAGAGCAAACCAGGTGAATATTTGTGAGCTTTAGCAATCACATGCCTCGTTGCAGTGGAGGTGGAGGACCTCTGCAGCCTTGACACCCAAAGCTTACCTGGGGCTCTCTCGTTCCAGCTGAGGCTGCAGCTCTGGGAGGCATATTGCCAAGTGCGGTATCTCTGCTCCCATCTCAGAGGAAATGACAGCGCAGACTCCGCCGTCTCCACGGACTCCTCCATGGATGAGTCTTCAGAAACCTCATCAGCCAAAGATGTCCCGGCCGGCAGCCTACGGGCAGCTCTCAGCGAGCTGAAAAGGCTGATACAAAACGTGCTGGATGGGGCAGACTCCACGGTGAGTTGGCAGCACTGTTATTGCCTGTGTCTCCTTGCCCAAGATGTCACAGGCTCTCACTTGACCCTGAAGTCCCTTGTCTCTGAGAAAGCCCGTGGGGAAGAGCTGTCTTGGCGCACTGCCTGCTCTCTGTCAAAACATCATAGAGTCATGAATGGCCTGGGTTGAAAAGGACCACAGTGCTCATCATTTCCAACCCCCTGCTGTGTGCAGGTTGCCAACCAGCAGCCCAGGCTGCCCAGAGCCACATCCAGCCTGGCCTTGAATGCCTGCAGGGATGGGGCATCCACAGCCTCCTTGGGCAACCTGTGCCAGTGCCTCACCACCCTCTGGGTGAAAAACTTCCTCCTAATATCCAACCTAAACCCACTCTGTCTCAGTTTAAGACCATTCCCCTTTGTCCTATCACTATCCTCCCTCACATCAGCCAAGAACCAAACCAGCACATGGGATTTCAGCCCCATGGAGTTCAAGGTTACGTGCTTGAGCAACTCTTGTCAATTTGGGAGTCATTCTGGGAAATGAATGAAAGGAGATTTAAGACTTGCAGCAAATTTGAATTCCAACATGGAAATACTGCAGATGGTTGCGTGCATCCCAGTTCAGTTATTTCTGTTACAATTTGTCTTTGTAGCAATAGTGTAGTAAAACCTTGTAACCCCTATACAGGTAGATTTTGGCTCTACAACTGGGGCTGCATACAGATGTTTTGGTGAGACCAGGCATGAATCCATCACCATGTGAGGCTTTTGCTGGTATGCAGTGGTGTTAAGGCGTACACCTTCAGCACTGTGAGGGGATGGCATCCACAGGAGCATAGAATTACAAGAAAACACCTGGATTTTTGCAAAGTATCAAAAATGAGGACTATTTTCATCACCTGCAAGCATTGCTAGCATGACTTATTTGAGAGGCCATGCTGATGCAGGCAGTGCAGACCTTGCAAATGCAGAGTCACTTGCAAGGTGTCACCCTCCTCATTTCAGTAACTGTAGCAGCTGGTAGGAAGCTGAACATGGAGGTGAAGTGGTATTTGCCAAAGAAAAAAACAGAGTCCTGGAACAGGTTTGCAAACACAGAATGCAGTCCCACGTGGGGTCATTAGGTCTCAGTGAATTTGGTTTATGCTGAGCTAAGAGCACTGCCCTTCAAATTCATGCAACTGCCCTTTGAAAAAGAAAAAGCAAACAATAAAAACCTGATCAAGAGATTTCTCTCCTGCTGCCAGAGCTCTCGGCGGAGCGACGATGACTCCTTAGAGGAACAGATCAGGAGAACAAGTGAGGACTCAAGAGCCCTGAGGGAGTTAATGGAGGGAGAACGGGGGAAACTGAGGCAAAGTCTGGAGGAGCTGCAGAGGCTGCACAGCCAGGTTAGTAATGCCCACACTTAGCAGATGGCCTTTTAACACAGCGTTCATCCCCAAGGCACACATTCTGTAGAAGTGATCACCATGGTGAGTAGCCCAGAAGGATCTGGGTGAGCACCAGCTGCAGTTGGATAAGGAAATCTGTATTAAACCCAGTGCAGAGGCTTCATGCATGTTTGGATCAGAGCTTCTGCACTTTGCAGGTGTCCGGGTGCCCTTCCCAGACATCATCCCAAGTAACCAAATGTCCTTTTGAACTTTTTACCCAATCTGCTTTAGCAGCCAGCCTGTCTGACTTAAACTTTTCTCAGCAGAAGATCCCAGAATATAGGGTTGCTTGATATGGGGTGCTGGAACCCATAGGCATCCATTCTGACCCATCTTGCACTGAGTCCTGTTTTTCTATTTTATAATTTGCTTTTACCTGAGTATAGATGCATCTGCCGAACAGACAAACCAGCACTGCTGTGTTGCACGTGGCACAAGGCTCACACCCTTCCAGCACTTCCCAATGCAGCATCGTGACACGTGCTAACTGCACACCCAGGGAGCCCTGATCATGGCCAAGCTGGCACCATGCCATACCCCTGAACCAACGAGGTTAATGCTAAATCAAACACAACAGCAGCAAACGATCCAATCTCAAACCCAGAGCGTTGAATCAGACCGCATCTATCCACAATGAAGCCAGCAAAGGCATCATCTTGAGGCAGCAAGCGGAGACACCCAAAGACAGCCTTGGCAAAGCCTGTCTTCTATGGGACAAGGCTCCACATGCCACAGGAGATGTGGAGGCTGTGGCAGAAGCAGCCTTTGGCACAGCTGCTCGTGCAATACCAATTGCATTGGAGCAAGGAATGGGGTTACCACCCTTGGCTGCTTTTGCCCTTTCACCGCATCCTTTTGGAAAAAGGAAAACACAACCCTGTCCAAAAAGTCAGCACAACTGATGGACACACAGGGCTGTGGGAGCTGTCTGCCCTCCATGTGAAGATTCCTTTGAGGATTCAAGGGAGGTGGGTCAGGTGCTGGAAGGGTTTCCAGGTGGTAGAGGAGCATAACAGAGCGAGCGTGTGCCACAGACAAAGAAACGTGTATGAAATACTGTGAATCCGTGCATGATTTCACAGCCTATTACCTCGCTCCACACAGGACCAAACCAATAGATCATTTCCCAGACTATTTAAGACTCTGCACGCATTTTGAAGTCTAATTAAAAATGTAAGACATGCCAGTAACACCTTCTGTGGTGCGAAAGGGACCTTTCACATCCTTTGTCTTCAGTTTCGCACCGCTTCAGAAGATGCAATGATGTAACTGTTCCCTCTCCTGAAAAAAAAGCCAACAGGAAAAACAATCCCTCTTGCTGCTAGATTTGCAGCTTCTACAGGCAGGACACCTCAGTCTCCAGGTTGCCCCCTGGCTTGTTTTCCACCCTCCCTTGCCCTGTACTCATCGTGGCTGTTCCACTCTCCCCTGTGAGCTCAGGTCACACTGCTGAGCGTGGAGATGACGACGCTGAAGGAGGAGCGGGACCGGCTGAGGGGAGCTGCAGAAGACAAGGAGACGAGCGAACGGCTCCTGCAGGCCATCCGGGATCGGGACGAGGCCATCGCCAAGTGAGTGGGGACACAGCCTGAGCCAGGCTGCGTTAGGGGTACAGGAGCACCTGCCTCCAGGGTGGCCGGTCTCAGCCCTGCTGGTGATGGGAAGCGCTGGAGGAGCTTAAGAGTTCCTAGGAGCTACCCTATGGCAGGACTAGGGGGCTTTGGGGGATGCTGTGAGCCCTGATTTTGCCACCCATGGTGCTGGTGTGTGGCACACGATGACCTTAGGGAAGCAAATGGAATCCCTAATTCTGTCCTGTCTTTTTCTTCTTTTGCTCTTCCACATATACAGAATGGCCCAGGTTGGAAGGGACCTCCAACCCCCCTGCCACATGCAGGGCCACCAACCTCCCCATTTAATACCATGCCAGGCTGCCCAGGGCCCCACCCAGGCCTTGAACACCTCCATCCACAACCTCTCTGGGCAGCTGTTCCAGAACCTCACCACTCTCATAGTAAAGAACTTCCCCCTGACAACCAACCTAAATCTTCCCTCCCTCAACTTCCCTTGTCCTGCTGTTATCTATCCTTTCAAAGAGTTGACTCCCCTCCTGTTTATAAGCTCCATTAACACACAAGACTTGCTTCCCTGCCCATCTCTATTGCAGCCTTGCCTGGACCTCATCCCTAAAGCATTCCTCTGCTCACTCTCTATCCTTTCCTGTTCCTGGGTCTTTTTCCAATTTTCTTATCCTCTGGTCGGGATTCTCACACTGTTTTGAATCTTTATTTCTCCCCATCTTCCTCCTCCCAGCCCTCTGCCATTTTGCTGCCCTGTACCCCATACCTCCTCCTTTGGCTCTGCACCCTGCAACCCTGCAGAACAGTGCTGCCCTGAGTTCTTTTCCTCAAGAAGAATGGGCAGAATAATTCACCCCCCATCCTCTAGGTAGAAAGGATAGGCCTGATAATCTCCTCCAAAATGAGCTGGCCAGAACACCACCAGTGCATCTCCTTACAGACACACCTATTACTCAGGTGCTTGCGAGAATAGGAAGTGAGAGCATTGCAGCTCTGAAGATGCAGGGAGCTAAATCTCCATGCTGAGACCTTTTGTCTTTTTTTTAAGTGAACTTCTCACCCATGCTGCTCTTGCCCAGGTATCCAGCTTCCAAATTCCCACTGCTGTCCTCTGTTACACCTCCATCTGTTGGCATAAAGCAGGAGTGTCCCAGCTGCACAGCTGGGTGCAGAGACGTTGTTCTGACATTTCCTGTGCTTGTGGGCTGCTGGTTCTTGCTGTGGCTATGGCAACGTGCAATAAATCCCACTGTAATATCCAAGCAGCAGTGGGGAGCTTCAGAGGAAAAGGCTATTTCAGGTTCTCAGACCCACAGCCAGGAGCAGAAGGGTACAGCTTCTCCACAGTGGTTAATGACCCTATAAAGCCCAGAGGAAGGGGACGTGACAAGTGTGCATGGATGAGTGGTGGGTGATTAATGAGCAGAAGCTGCAAGTGAAAGGAGACAGCACAGAGATGCTAGGAATGAAAGTGTCATCGTGCAGACAGAGGGGATGCTGCATAGCAGCAAGCTGCCCAGCAGGCATGCAGTGCTCAGCCTACCTGCACCTCAAGGGTTAAGTCACGGCTGTTGAAGTGTTCCCCCCCCCACCAAAAAAAAAAGCCCAACTCAACGCTGCACAAAAATAAAACCACCGCCTGAAGCAGACATCTGGCGTGGAACATTTTTAGCTTGAAGCTGAAGTTTGGCAAACATGGGAAGCAATAGGAAAAGAGGATTCTAGAATAGGAAGCGTTCGGCGATCGCTACCTGGAATATAAACACAGATTCCCAAATTGCTCTTCTGCAGGGGAGCGTGAGGGAGCTGCTAGGAAGTGATGAATGAGAGACAGTTAATAAGATGCAATTATTCCTCCCCAAAATATTTTCAAAGACAAATCGTTCCCAGCAAGTCACGTTACAGTTTCCCCATCACACAGCAATTAATTGATAACTTCAGGTTTGTGGCCAGGCAGCCTGCACCTACCTGTATGCTTCCCAGCACAGCAAGCATTTCCCAGCTCAGACAGCTTAGGGAATTGCTCCTTCCCAGGGGATAACTCCTTCCTGCTTCCCTGTAGCAGCTGGAGCATCCCACCACCAGGGTTTAGCCATGGGCTCACCTGCCCTCAGAATGCCTGGGATGACATCAGAGTGGCATTCCTGAGTGGCACAGCTCCATGGAATCCGAGAGCTTTCTTTAAAGCTTATTATTTAATTCAAATAATTAATTTGATGTTTCAAGGAATGATAAACTGTTAAAGTATATGCTATGATAAATTCCTTCCTTCAGTTCTTTGCTCAGCCCAGGCCCCATCTCTAGAAACTGAAAGCAGGGTTGTACTTTTTGCAGGGTTATTTTTTCATATTGCTGGGCAGAAAAGGGGTCTTTGTTTTTTAGAGCATTCCATTTCATTTCCCATACATTAGTAAACAGAAGAAATGCAAAAATAATGTGTATAGAGATTCTAACTCATTTTAGTCCTCCATTTTTAATGGCAGATCCTGCACATCGTTCAGATGTACAATATTATTTTGTAGAGCAGCACATCTGAATGTTTTCTCCTATTTTTCATGATGTTACCTAAAATCTGCTTATTTTATAAGGTAAGAATTTCTGCAGTTCTGGCCCACTCTTCTGGGCCAGGTAAATAGACCAGAAAACAATGGAAAATGCTGAGGATTTAGGGACTTGCCAAATAAATAGAATCATAAAATGGTTTGAGTTGGAAGGGACCTTTAAAGGGCAACTGATCCAACTCCCTGCAGTGCACAGGGACACCCACAGCTCCATCACTGCTCACAGCCCCATTCCCTGACCATGGGTGTCTGCAGGAATGGGGCACCACCACCTCTCTGAGCAACCTGTGCAGTGCCTCACTGCCCTCAGTGTAAGGAACTTCTTCCCTATATCCAGTCTAAACCTTTCCTTTCCGTTTGAAACCATTTCCCCTTGTCCTGTCACACAGACCCTGCTAAAGATTCCATCCCTTTTTTTGATTAAAATCAATAAATCATTGACTTCCGAGGGGTATGTTGAACATTTCCTTAAAATAATTATGAAGTGAAAAGTCCCATTTCTTGCTCTCCCCCCAGGAAGAACGCTGTGGAGGTGGAGCTGGCCAAGTGCAAGATCGACATGATGTCCCTCAACAGCCAGTTGCTGGATGCCATCCAGCAGAAGGTGAACCTCTCGCAGCAGCTGGAGGCCTGGCAGGTGAGCAGTTCCCCACTGCCACAGGGCAGAGTCTGAGGGCATACAGAGCACACAGCAGAGGAACCCACCTGGGTGTCCGTGTGGGGGATGCCCTCAGCATTGAGACATGCAGATGCAGCACATCTGTTCCTGTAGCCAAGCAGGAGATGGGAGGTGGGGATGTTGTGGTCACTGGTCCACTGCGTAGCACTGTTGTCAATGCAGAAGATGTGGCACGATGGAAAAGCTAAAATCAGAGCTCTCAACCAAGGTAAAATAAACAAATAAATGAATAATCGGATCCCAAACCCACAGCAGGTGAGGGCAGATGCCCCAGAGATGTCCTTCTTAGGGTCAGTGGGACGGACCCGTGCCAAGCAGAGAGCTTTGATGGCAGACAAAAGATGGCAGACTCAGAGCCCTCTGAGAAACCAGCACTGAGGGAGCATGGCTAATAGAAAATGAGCAGATACAAGAGAAAAGGTCCGGGTCAGTACAGGAAATTGGTGCAGACCCTGCAAGACCCCGACTCTACTACCCCCCAACCTGACCGGTAGAAACCTCTCCCATACAACCTCACTCCTGTTTCAACTCCACCGTGTTTTCGTTTCTTTTTTCTTCTTCTCTTTCTCCTGCTTACAGTTTGCTTCCTCAGGGCTTTTTACTATCTGGCTCCTTTGGTTTCTGATCTAGTGGCCTTTCTCAGTTCCTGTACCAACAGCTTTAGTCGTACACCCCTCCTGCCTTTGAGGTGAGATCCCTGCACCCACTGAACACCCACCATCACCTCGCCTGCTCCATTCACTGCTGTCTCCACCTGCATCCACCTCTGTCCTCACCACCATCTGGCAAGAAACCAGCAGGGGTTCCTCATCACTCCTCAGGGCCCCGCATCCCCCAGCACCAGGGGCAGAACCCTGCAGCAAGGCTTTGCCCCCAGGTCATCATGGGGAAAGCCAAGCTGAGGTCCACATGTCATTAATGCTGTGTGCTCAGCTTGTCTAGCATCAGGAAAATTCCTGAGGGGCAGGCTGGGATTTTACTTCTCAGCTTCGTTATCTAGCAAGTGATATGCAGCACTCTGCAAGTTTGAATGAGTGGTGTAAATTCAGCTGCTTACTAGTACCTCCTAATCTGTATATGTGTATGTATATCATATACACACGCTCCAGCTTTCCTGGAGCACTGTGTTCAGATGTGGAGTCCTCAGTACAGGAAAGATATGGACCTGTTGTAGGTCACAAAAAGGCTCCAAGGCTCCAACATCTCCCTGTTAGGACAGGCTGAGAGCTGGGGTTGTGCAGCCTGGAGAGGAGAAGGCTCTGGGGAGAGCTGAGAGCAGCCTTTGGTATCTAAAGGGGTCTATAAGGAAAAAGGGGACAGGCTGTTTAGCAGGATCTGTTCTGATGGGACAAGAGGAAGTGGTTTCAAACAAAAAGATGGCAGATTCATATTGGATATAAGGAACAAGCTGTTTACAATGGGGTGGCAAGGCACTGCACAGGGCGCCCAGAGAGGTGGTGGTGCCCCATCCCTGCAGCACCCACAGTCAGGGAATGGGGCTGTGAGCCCTCATGGAGCTGTAGGTGTCCCTGGGTACTGCAGGAGGTTGGACTAAATGGCCTTTAAAGGTTCCCTTTCAACTCAAACAATTCTATGATGATTCTATATAAAATCATACCCATCTCTCATTATGTGATTAACCAAAGGTGAATCTGCCATGCTGGATGTCCCTCTCATATGATAGAGTTGCTTTCCAAATCCAACTGCTATAAATTTCTTGCATAGCAGCTTCACCTCTGGAAACCATTAACGTTGATGTTTACCTTAACCTCTTCAACTCTCCCTCTGCCTCTTCCCTTTCCAGTCCAAAGCTTCCTCTGTCTACTTAGCTCTGCACCCTTGTGCTTTCTTGAGACACCCCAAGTACTAAATTCACGGCCATCAATCCTTTTCCCTCCTGGAAGTGGCATTTTCCCATGTTTTTTTCTTTCCTCTGAGCCCCACTTGTGGGTCCCAGGGTTGGCAGAGAGGACACTGCTTTCCCCAAACTGCCAAATAGCCCAGCTGCGAGCAGCACCAAGTCTGATGTCTAAATCCAGGTGGGAAACTGAGATTGGAACAGTAAAGGAAGGAAGGGAAGTGATAAAGAGAGGCATATACCAGTTCAACACCAGTCGTGTTGCAGCTTCCCAGATGGAGAAGCATCTATCTGCTCAAACAAAAAACCCCAAAAAACAAACCACAAAAAACAAGTTTCCTTGTGTCACAGTGATTTCAGCTCCTTGGCGATCCTAAAACAAGGATCCCAAGTAGCCCTTGGCTATGGGTGCTAGCACACAATGCCCTGAGCAGCCCCATCTTCCATGCTGTCCCAAGGAGACACAGGGCTGGGAGGTCACCTGAGCCCACTAGGGCCACAGGCAATGGCCTCTGGTGGCCATCCAGGTCACCCAGACTCCACCTGAGGGTTTCTCCCAGCAGAGGCTGTGTACCATCACTGCTTGGTCCATAACATCAGCAACTGCTGAGACTCTTCCAACCCCCCAACTGGTGGGGTCCATGGGTACCCCAAAAAGCACAGTTGAGCCCTGCCCTGCGTGCAGAGCCCCCAGAATGGCACTTCTCATCCTGCAGTCTGCCCAGATAACTTTGTTCTCACCAGCCAGCACTGTCAGTCCTAATCAGGGACCAAAACATTGGAGAATAAGTGACATCTCCCGTGGGACTAATCTGCATACATGGATTTTCACTAATCTCCAGCTTAAATACACAATTATAGCAGAAATAATGTATCTGAAAGTTTAAGATTTTGTCAGATTGGCAGCCAGGTTTTCAAGGAGCACATCAGTACGTGTCATTAGCAGCAGTACAGCTGACTGATTGTTTTGTGTGGAGCAACTTCACTCTGCTGCAAACATGGATTAAACCACAGCATCTCCAGTGCTTCAAAAAACAAACAAAAAACTGGAGTGCAGTTGTTGGTGCCAAGCTGTCAGTCAGAGAGCTCCCATCACTCTGCCAGCACCACTGGAAAGGAGCTGGGGCTAAGGGATGAGCACCGAAGTGACAAGACCCACATGGGGTTTTTGTGGGCCTGTGCCTGACCCCGGCCCCTCTGCTCTGGGGAGCACCTTCCCCCAGGAGGGCCCTTCAGTGGGGCTGCACAGACAGCTCTGCCATTCCCTGGTTTGCAAGTCTGCTCAAGCAATTCATCCCCCAAGCAATGCGAGTTGCCTTCTCACTCATTAGAAAACCTCACAGTGGGAACTGGGGCTGAGCCTGGGGCTGGGCAGGGAGCTGGGGCTGTCCCCACGCTTGTCGTCATCCCTTCTCCATCTCATTGCGGCACGTTTCACACCCACATCCCCACACAAGCTCCCCACGAGCATCAGCTGCCTCTAACGCCCATCTCCTCTCCCTCTGCTGCAGGATGACATGCACAGGGTCATTGACCAGCAGCTGATGGACAAACACCCGAAGGAATGGAGCCAGCTTGCTTATTCCTTCTCCAGTGGCTACGTCGCAAAGCAGAGTGCCAGACCCTCCCCTGTGCTCCGGCCAGAGCCGCAGGGGGATGAGCCCAGTGGGGCAGAAGGGCACCGTCTCTTTTCCTTTTTCAAGAAAAATTAACTTGAAAAAGAGAAACCTCTCCAACCATTCTTGCTTCAAGATGGGGAGGGGGCAGCTGCCCAGCTTGCTGATGGACCCAACGCTGATCCACCGGGAATAAGAAGGGGCAAAGGAGTTAACCTTGAGACTCTGCACTATTAACGCCGCACCTGGTCTGAACCAAATGTTTACATAAATTGGAAATTTGCAAATTGACATTGTGCTACAGATGGAAAGCAACTTTTCTTATTCTTCAAGTGAAGCGATGAACTTCAGGGTATATTTTAGGCGCTTTGACACGGTTTAGTTTCTGCTGTGAAGAATAATCTGATTGATTGTCTTAAAAGCATTCTGATGCTGGAGAAGGAAATAAGCAGCCCCAAGACAAAGCAGCGCAGGGGATTGGGAACTGCCATCACAGCGAGTGCAGGGGGAAGAAGAGAGCCCAATGCAAGAGAAGAGAGGAGCCCTCATACAGCCCTCCAGGCCTGGCAACTGATGTCCTTCATCCATCCCACTGGGAGCAGAGCTGCTTTGGCTGCAGCACTGCCATGTTTTGAGAAGATGAACCCTCACTGCACATCCTACCTGGGCATGCCTGTGGCTCTGTGGAGCTGCTCACCCCCGCGGGGAACCCAGGCTCCTTGCAGGTCATGGCAGTTGTAAGTTTGTGTCTTCTGCAGCCTGTTAGAAGAGTTGCAGAGTCTGTAGGTGCACAAAAATGTTAAGGACTTCTTCCCATCCCTATTGGCCACCTGCAACAGATTACAAACTGAATAACGTTGTGGATGTTCAGTCCTGGGGCCTCCAAAGGTCAAAAGTAGATGTGGAACTTCAGCACGTCGCACACCTTTCCCCTAAAGCCATGTATCTCTCGTAAACCGAGTAAGAAACCTGTTATTGTAACAGGATAATCTCCCACCCAAAAAAACCCCCACAACTCATTGAGATCCTGTCCATAATGAAATCAAAGGCTCACCACTGCTAGGCTGGCAGATGTGATCCTTAAATCCGTGTCACATCCGGATCACATCACATCCGCTGGCAGATGTGATCCATGCCGAAAACACACGGGCATCTACCTTTGCTAAAGCCCCAGGCAATCAGGGCACCTGCAGAGCTCTGGGGATCCTGCAGCTTGCCCTTTGTGCCCTGCAGTACCATTAGCTGTGGTCTGATGGAAATGATGTGTATTTGTTCTGCCCATGGGTCATTTCCCACTCAGCCCCTCAGCAAACAGGCAGCCAGATCTCCTCTTAACCAAAGGTGATCAAAGCCTGCTTTGCTGCAACCAAGACTTGACCAACAAGAAGGAAAATTAGTATTTCTGGTGTATGCACACGGTGGTGCTGGAAACCCTGCAATACATTTCCCTATGCACTGGATGGGCACCTTAGAGCTCTTCCCTTTGATAGAGTCTGCCTTCATGAGACAGCAAGGCAGCCAGGCCAAGCTCAGAGCTGTCCTGCCTCCATCATGTGATTTTCACATGTTCTCCCAGCTCACAATGCCCACAGACCCCAATTTGTTTCCCTGCTGCTTCGAGGAGGCTCCTTCCTACACTGTCCCACAGGAGATGGAACACATACAGCTCTTCCCAGCTCAGCACAGGTGCTAAAACACCTTCTTAGGGGGAGCTGCCAATCCCTGCTCCATATTGACAGTCACAGGTATGCTGCTAGAATTAGCCATCCAGCACCTCCTCCTTAGAAGCAGGTAAGAGGTTGGTGGGTTGTTGTTTAATGTATTTATTTATTGCATCGAGCATACATAATACCTCAGTAGAAATATCCTTTCTGCCTACAAAGATCTGAGCATCCCCACGTTTCCTTATTAGCACGGAGCTGCCATGCTGGTACAAAGTCAGTAAACATCAGGTCAGCTCTGCAAAGAGCAAAGCACTCTTTGGGGATAGAGAAGGATGAGTGGTAAAACTCATTTACCTGAAAGCAATGAAACCTGGATCCCAGGTCCTACCCAAGAAGTAATTAAAGCACCATCAACATCGTTTAATGCTAATAGGGAAGGGAGCTTGGAACCTCATCAGCAGGAAAGGAAACCAAACCTCTCCTCCTGCTGAGCGTCTGCTTGTAGTGCAAACTAAGGGAAGGGACTCCGTGCAGTGCCAAGAGTGCTCTCAGGACAGAAAACCCTCATCCTCCCATCATACCTACATTATGACTCCTCACAGGACAGAGACACGAGGCACGTGCTCAGCATCTCCTGCCGTCAGGACTCACTCATGCCCATATGCATTAAGAAGCTCTGTTACCTGCAGAATTGGCGTGGATAGATGGATGCCAGTGATCCCTGTGAGCAGTTGTCTTACACAGCAGTTCTTTGGAAATGACACTGCATATTTTTGGGAGTCATGTGAACATCTCCGTCCTCACAGCTCCTTATTCTGCTGTCAGCATTCACTTCCCAGGCCCCAGCAGCTCTCTGCAGACCACGTGCTGACAGCTGAGTGGGACCTTCCCCCCTTGAAGATGTCTGTCTGTATGCAATCCTAAGTAAAGGACCTTCAGTTACTCAATGAAGATGCAGCAATGAGACGAAGAAAGGTGCCTTCTGCTACACGTTTGCTGAGAGGAAAGTGACTCATTTGGTTGCAGGGGTAGGCAATTGAAATGCACAGCACATCTCTGCATTTAAGGAGAAACCTACCCTAATCCCATTGCAATTTTATTTATTTATTAGCAGTGACGGAAGAGGATGCAAAAGGAAGGACAGCGCGTCCCAAGGTGCCAGCTGGGTATGGTTTCTTCAAACTAACCCCTTAATCCTACAGACTTAGTTGCACTACTAAACCCAGAAATACAAGAGAACTGTGTTTAACGAACTGGACAACAGACCAAAGGAGACCTCCTTGTGCTCAGCTGCTACTCAATAGGAACAGAAACTGCCTTAACATAGCAGCTAAGCTTCGTTTCGTTTTATTGAAAACTTACTCAGTCCTTCACATTCTTGTGTGTCACATTGTGTTTTAAGGTCCCAACTATTTCACCTTGAACGGTCATTGAAGCACTCATCCCCTTCTGTAGAGGCCAGGAACCTGGAACTGTCCTTGCAGGGCTGGGTTAGAAGATGCTCCACTTGTGATAGTCTGTATTTTAGGATACACATGGCATAAAGAAAACATCAGCTCCACTGAATGGAATGGAGGAAGTGCATTAATCCAGCAGGCACACAGGATCCCAAAGCAGACTTAACAAGAGGGATCAGCAGCTCTAAATACAACACTCACCCTTCTGAGATGATGGTAAATAACCCAGCAGTGCTGCACAGTCACCGCTCGAGTTTTGCACATGCAGAAGACACCTGCTGAGATGAAGGTTACAAAGAACTTTCCCACAGTTGAGCAACAGGTGACTGGGCAAATGTTTTCTGTGTAAGGGAGAAGGGATGATTCTCCCTTTAATAAACTCTGCAAGGGAAGCAACAGTAAACAAGGAATACGTGAATGAAAGGCAAGTCACTCGCACTTTATGTTACTTCAAACTTGGATCAGCAACTTGCCATCAAGATGAATGCTAAATCAATTAACGACAACAGAATAATTTTGCACAGAGCAGCAAGAAGTGAGGTTAGAGGCAGTGCTGCATGCACAAGGACTTCATAGCTGTATGCACTTGTCCTACTTAGAATGCTAAATTCCTGATATGCCTCTGCAGCAGGCAATCTCTCCACTCCCCACTCGGCTAAAAAAAGCAAGATTGTTGTAACCAAAAGCCAAGAAAGGAAGCGTCTGGGTGCTGCAGTAACCATTCCCTTGGATTGAGAGGGAAAAGCACACAGCAGGGACAAGCAGAAAGAATGTATCTATAGATATGTACATAAACCACAGTGCTGTAATTTTTGTATGTAGCAGTCATGTAAATAAATGTATGGTTTTTATAAGATACATATTATGAAAATCTATAAAGGCATATTTTTAGTAAAAAAGATGCTCTTCTTTTGTAAATAGTTCTCTTCAGAATAAAACAGACCATTTATATACTGTCTCAGCTCTCAAGTCACTGCTTATCCTGCCCACCTGCAGAAGCATCTTTAGCACCTCATCATCCCAAGAAATTCACCCAGACAGCACTTGCATGCGTTCTGCAGAGAACAAGGCTGGAGAAAGAATATTTGAGGCTTTTGCACCTCCTGCTGCACAGGAAAACAGGCAAATTCAAGTCTCCTCCACCATCCAGCCATCTGTATCCTTTAGGTGCCTTTACACGGAGGAGCATTCAAACTTTGACAAGTTTAGATAAATCTCAAATGACCAGTGAGACACGACCAACGTGCCCCAGTTGCAGCTCAGGCCATCTGCATGTCGTGAAGATTCTCCCATCAACAGTCATAGCTGAACAAGGCAGGCAGGAGAAAAGGCATCGTCCCAGAACACTTGGGAGTGTTTCCATGACACTTCTCCAGGAGCGAGGAGCTGCCTTCAGTAGCCTGCTTGTGTGCACTGGCAGCCAGCACAGAACAGATACACATCAATTGTGATTTCATCAGTACCTCCTTCCCCAGAAAGAAGCCCCCTCCACATCCAGCAGAAGGGCTCAGCCCTGGCTTGCCACCCTCCACCTCCAGATGATGGACAGCAGAGGAAACAAAGCCTCAAAAAAGATTTGGCAGCTTGTAACCTTTATTTTTAGTTTTTTAAAATTATTTAAAAAGCATAATTAGAAACTTTCATTACAGAAATAATCCTAGCAATCCAGTTAGACATTCCATTGCTCAACATTTAGGAAACTTCACATCAGCACACCACTAGAGATGCAGTCCCCACCCCTTCCAATTGAACAGTCAGTGGCAAGAGCAGACATAACCACTCCTCTACAGCCAGTATTAGGAAAACACTCCCACTGCAGGAAGTTGGACACCTGGATTGGCAGAGTTCAAACTGTGGCCACAAAGACCTGGACTCAAAGAGAACCAATCTTCCCACATAAGAGAACACTCCAGGTTCGGGTGCACCATTTCCTCATTTTATTGCATCAGTTCCAGTCATTTCAGACATTTATTTCAGCCTGTAAGAAGTTGCTCCTTCCTGGATCTGCACACTCGCTACCACGAGAGCCCAAAAGAAACACAGTTGGACCCTTTGATTAGAAAGTGGTAACCGTCACAGCATCACAGCACAGCTTCATTTCAACAGGAAGGCTTTGAGGACTGACAGAGCTCCTTCCTTGTGCATACACCACATTCAACATGAGAAAGCATACAGAATGACACCTGGTGCAACTTAAGCTGCCCCTTTCCACAGCTGCTTGAGTCTAACCATCATCAGAGCTCACGCTAGCAACGTCATCCCAACTCTTTCTTGGGTTACCAATACAAGATATGTGAAGAAAACAGATGGGTGAAGGCAGCTGGAAATGTACTCCCAGCACCTGAACTGATTAAAAATGTGTTTACACATTCATTGTTTGCATTTTTTTTAAAAAGAAAGTCTCCAAAGTGATTGATTGTGATGTGATTGTATGATTGGGGCTCTTACCACAACCCGTAAAAATCTTAAAAAAAAAAAAATACAGGCAAAATAAGTGACTAAATTTTAGCCTCTCCTGGGGGAACGGGGAGGAAGGGAGAGAGGAGGGCTGATCCAGAGCTCATGGACGTCAGTGAACCACATCCTACCAAACCAAGGCCAGCAATTCCAATGGGCTCACTGACAAATGGAGTAAGTCTGCCTTCAAGGTCTTCAAGGAAATCGTTATCTTCCATGCCTTTTTGTCATCTTAAAGAAAATTCTTAATTATTATGTAGGCAATTATTCAGGTGCTGAGCACGTACATTCAGCCCAGAAATCTAATACTTCAGTTACACAATCTCTCCCCCTTTAACTATTATCTACCCAGGGCAACAGACTGAGCCACTGTTTTCCCAGAAATGCCAACGTGGGCAAAGAAAACAATGCTGGGCACAGCAAGACCGGTTTGTTTTCAAAGGTGATCCTCCAAGCAAGTTTTCCATTTTCTTACATTAAAGAGCAGTCCTCCTTTCTAATAGAAGAGTCCTGGGAATGATCCTGCAGCAGCTTTCACTTTCAGACATCAATCCAGAATAGCTAGATTTCTTTTCATGCCTTTTCTCACTGAAAAACGCAGCTCTGCCACCAAAATTCACATTCATGTTCACATCTCCTATTTGTTGATGGGACAATGAGGAGGAAGGGGTATTGTTGGTTGGGTTTTTTTTGGCAGAACATGGTTTTTGTTCTCAAAAGAAGTGGACCCTCACTTAGGACCGTGGCAGAACCAGAAGCAGAGGTCAAAGGAGTTTAATTTCACCTTAAAAAAAAAAAAAAAAAGTTTTATCCAAATAAATCCCACTTCTGCAGGCTGGTTGTTTTTTTTTTTCAGTATCTTGATACAAATGGAAGGAGAGCATGGGTACAGCTGGGCTGCAGCACATGAAGATGAAACCCAAGGACCCAGCCAAAAACCCGGATCATGGCAAACTGAAATTCAAGGCCCCAGCAGCAGCACCAGCTGCCAGCCCAAGGGCTTGAGAAGTGAAACCCCAGGCTTCAGCAACAACACCTGCAATCCCGGTACCTAGAAAAAGAAAGCCAGAGCCCCAAGTAAAAGCCTGGAACTCTAAGTGAAGCCATAGGCCCCAGGGGCACCAGTTGCCAGCCTGGAGCCCAACAGAAGTGAAGCCAGAGGCCCCAGAAAGCAGTTGCTGCCAGCCCGAGGCCAACTTGATTTAAGAACTTGGTACTATTTCATTAAAAAGGTGAACTCTGCAGTCCATGATTGGTTGACATTAAGAAGGCATAAGCCAAAGCAACAACAGGGAGGCGAGGCTGGTTAACGCAATATACATTATATACAAACTCTTGGGTTAATTAGTCCACTTGGTAGGCAACGTCCTTTCTTGTCTACAAGGCGCACTGGAATGAGCAGGGGAGGAGAGAGGGGCAAGATTCCATCCGATACTTTCTTGGCACTGAAGTGGTAAGGTGCCAGCGCCTCTTGATAGAAAACATGGAGAAAAAAAATAATCTTTAAATAACGGCACAAAACTGAGAAAGTCCTCCCAAAGCCTGTCCCAGTGGAACTGCCCGAGTCTAGCTGGAAGGGCTGATCTGTCAGAGCAGAGTCTCTGCAGCAGGGGAAGGGCATTAGCAGCACCGCTTCTTCCTTTTACTGTTCTTCGTTAGCTTCACCACATCATTCTGTTGCTGCTGTTGCTGCTTTGCTAAGTTTTCTTTCTTTGCTCGCAGAACTAGCTCTGTAATGCAATTAAACATCTGCAAGAGAAACAAGCAAGATCAGACCACCTAGGAGCTAAGGCTAGTCATTAGGGAGTTGCTTTTAAAAAAGAAACAAACTGTCCACTCTTAAATTTTTCAGTTCAGAGATCCTCCCCAACCTACCAGAACACACCAAGCTCACATTGGGTGTCCTCCAGAGTCACCTCCAAGCTACATCTGTAATGTTTCCATCCCCTTTCCCAAACCAATAAATAAAAACAGGTGAGTTTGGCATCTGAAGCCTGGAGTAAAGACTGAGCAGTTCTACCTTCTGTAAGTATCCTCCCCAGTGAGACATCTTTCTTGAGAACAAGCCTAGTATGTTAGTGCTGTAAAGCTAGTAAAAACGCAGTGAGGTCTTCACTTCCTCAACCTCCTCCAAATGCAGTCAGATGTCTCTTGTCATACTACCTACTCACAGGCAATTTGGGTGAAGCATTTTATCTTTCTTCCTCAACAGAAATAATGTAATTCTTTCTTCTTCCCAAGCCAGCATCTCCAAGTAGTTATTTTCCATACTCTGCATATTACATTACCTCTTCCACATTAATATTTTCTTTGGCGCTGGTCTCAAACAATTGGATCTCCATCTGCCCAGCAAACTTATAGGCATCTTCTGTTTCTACTACTTTTCGCTCTGGGTCATCGTTCTTATTTCCCACTAAAAAAAGAAAGGAAAAAGTCAGCAGAGTACTTTGGCAGGTCAGTGCACTAAGATGCTTTAAATCTGTGATGAATGACTTACCTAGTATCCGGCAGACATCATCACAGTTTTGATTAATTTCATGCAACCACCGTTTTACATTCACAAAAGATTCTGCACTGGTTACATCATAGACAACAATGACTCCATGTGTTCCTCTGTAATACCTACGGAGCAGAAAAAGACAACAAATGTTAGTTCAAGCTACGTATCACCTTCTCAGCTCTTGCACTTAGCTTTGACAAGATTCATAACAAATCTCCACGTTAAGGTAACCAAATGTCTCCATTTCATACAATCATCGAGGTTGGAAAAGACTTTTAAGATCATCTAGTCCCACCATCCACCTATCACCAACATCTAGCCAGCAAAGAGTGCATCTGTCCAAGCCACAGACTCCAGGAGGATACTGTGGGAGGCAGTGTTGAAGGCGTTGCTGAGTCTAGGTAGACTACATCAGCCTTCCCCTCATCCACCAGGTTGGTCACTCGATCACACAAAGACACCAGGTTGGTCAAGCAGGACCTGCCTTTCACAAACCCATGCTGGCTAGGCCTGACCCCCAGGCTGTCCAGCTTATGTGTGTGATCTCCCTCTAGATGACCTGATTATGATCTGCTCCATAACTTTTCCTGGCACCAAGGCCAGGCTGACATGCCTGTAGTTCCCCAGATCCTCCTTACGACCCTTCTTGTAGATGGGAGTCACACTGGCAAGCAATTTCCTTACTAAGGGGAGCCATTTAATTCTTCTGTAACAGCTTTGCCACCTCTATTCCTCTAGATCTAGATCTAGAATTCCCTGCTCATTTAGTCCATGCTAACAGATTTCAAAGCCCAAAGTCTGCTGCTGACTCCCTTGTTCATGCTGCCAGAACCCTGAAAGATGACAGTGTCTTCTGGCAACGCGAGCAAAAGGCAGCAGTGCTCCCAGCACGCCCCCAGAACCTGAGCGCTCCACCGGCCACATCAACTCCCTGCAGTAATTTTGTTATCGATGAAAGATCACCTCCAGATTAAAATCTCCAAATATACTCAACCCCCAGTCACAGTTCTCTTGAGCTCACAAAAATTTCTGTCCTGTTGAACAACTGTGCTCCAATCACACCTTCCTACTCAACAGATCTACTCCATATGCACTTTCAGTGCGTTCTGCTACCTCCAGCCATTAAAAATAAGCTTTGCTTTGGTTTATTCCTATTAGTCCTGGGCAACCGGCACCTTTAAGAAATAAGTAATAATGATACAAAAATAATAAAGCCAAATTCAAGTTCCAGTGTTGTCACTTCAGGAAGCTGCTGAAGGCAGCAGTGTGCACACCTCAACAAGCTATGTAAAGCAAGCTGCACCTCCTCAGTTTCCAGCCACATCCCCTGGACTACCAGGTGTTTTTCTTTACTGCAATTTTTTGGCAGCTCTGACCAAAAAAAAAAGTAATTGAGACGGCTGACAGCAAGGCCTTCTCCAGTATTCAGTTTTCATATTTCAAGTAGCTTTATTTCTTCCTCATTCACCCTCTTTTTTATGATCAATATTAAGATCTTTAATTAAACAAATGCATACCAAGCCTGAGGAATTTCCTTTAACTTGTGAGAGCGTTTCTAGAGCTTTACCACAAACACTGCAGCAGTCTCCCTTCTGCTGCATTTTAGATGTGATCACCCTGGCTCTGATAATTTCTTTTTTAAATTCAAAACTGTATAATCTAATGCAAACGTGCACCTTTTAGAACTCAGTGTTGTCTGACTTCTGCTGCTGATACACTTGAGTGAGCCATTGCCTCTCCCTCACCTCTGCCTTCTGTTAAAGAATGGATGGTGAGGACACTCCATCCACCTTGGTGGAACATCAACAGAGACATGCCAAAGATAGGCACACATCACATGCTGAGTGCATCTCACCCCCACAGCTCCAGTTCTTTTCATCTGCTGATGTCTTTGCAGTGATAGTCATGGCACATCAGCACTTCTCTGTGATGAGATGCACACTCTGCAGGAGCAGAAGCCATTCCTCTTGCTCACCTGGGTGCTTTCAGAAGACAGCCAAACACTGCTCCCATGCTATGCTTTACCAGACATCTATGAGTGCACATCCACATTCCTTGGCAAGAACTCAGGTGAGAATTATTTACAGCCAGTAAGAAAGAGGCCCTGCACTACCTCACATTCTAATCCATTCTCAATCAGTTCCTTTAACACCTGAAAACTTGTTACAGCACTGCACTTGTGCCTCACTTAGTTACAAATTTATACCCCTTAGAGAAAAAAGCGTTCTACAGCTTGAGTCCACACATGCAAAACCTCCTGACAGCACTGTTGCATGCGACAGTATCAGAAAGGGAAAGACTTGATCCCACCAAAACACTGGATGTCAATATGTATAAACTTCAAACTCGCCCTTATCCCTTCACAGACTTTTAATTCAGCACCTCTGAGGCTGGCCTACCACTTCCTCTCCAACACTGAGCATCACGTTCACAAAGACATCACTCAGCCTTCACAGAAAAGCAATGGTTCAGTTACACCTACGCAGAGCTGCTTCATCCTGGGGGCACACCACAAAACCGTGCCCTGTATCCCCGTCACCCAGACCAGAGACTCAATGGAGGCAGCATCCAGCAGCTCCTACCTTGCCTCTGCACCCAAGTTTTCCTCTAAGCAAAAGCACGTGGTGCTGGGGAGTAGGATAACGTGCACCTTGCATGTGTAGGTCCCCCTCCTGGTACACCAGCAGCACATCACCATTTGCTTCTAGAGATGAGAGCTGTGGGCTGGGCCACGAAGCACAGACCACAGTGACATTCAAAGCTCTGCAGGAGCTGGGATCTCCTGCTACAAAGCTCTAATATTGCCAGCCACCTCATCAGAAACGTCTTCCTTTGTGCAAGACAGCACCCCCTGACTCCTGCTGAGTTCCTATCAGCATACATTGCTTCTATCTGTGGAAGAGAGATTTGCCTGGCGCATCCTTCTAGAAAGGTTGCCAACCCCTCATTTACACTAAGATGTCATTTTCTCCATTGGCTGACATTACCTTCTAGCAGCTCAAGAGATAAGACTACGACAGCCTTTTATTCTCCAACTCCTAAGCCTTAAAAATACACAGGTTTTTGTTTTTTGTGTTGTTTTTTTTTTTGGAAGAAAAGTTAGCCATGCTATTTTCTCTCATTTGTTAGATACATCCTTGTGTCCTAGATAACATTTTAAGCTTAACAAGTACAGCAGAGATGCTCCAAACTCAAGAGCAGGACAGCACTAAAAAAGACAAAATCTGGTTTATCCTATTCCATACTTCAAATTTCAGTATGATGCAGTGCAGAATTGCTTTTATAAGAAGTTGTAGGCTTTGGTGAGTAGAGAACAGATGGGGCTTCCAGCATTTAAGGATAAGTACATGTAGGTTTTGTGCTTTGGCAAGCAAGAGGTGGTTTAGGCTTTGGCACAAGAGAAAGAATGCCTTAGCATCTTCCCATCCACACCTCATGGAAGATGGATACTGTAAGAAGGAGAGCAGAAGAGACATGAAGTTCTCTATTTCAGCATCCAGTTGAAGGACTAAATAACTGATGGCAGCTTCCACAGGGTCAGTATCTGCTGGTCTCAGTGACAGACATGCTAACAAAATATAGCAAAAGTTACAGAAGAGTTATTTGCTTTCAGAGTGCCCAAGAAATGATTCCATTTTGTTGAAAGACCTAAGCTATTTCCACATGTCTCTGCAGTTGGATGCCTGGTAGTACACAACTATCTTCCATGCAACTGGAAAACCTACCTAGATAGAGAGGCTTCAACTACAGCTTTGGTGTGGGAAATGATTAAGGATGACAGCATTTAAGTTAAAATAAGCACCAAAGCAGCTTGTTTTACCTACAGGATTATAAAACACGGCCTTAAAAACAATACCTACTAATACAGCTGACTTAAATCAGAACACTTTTAGAACTGGTTAATCAAACTGATAACACCCTTCAGCCACCTGCACTCCACCACCTTGACATCCACCAGTTATTCTCTACTTCAACATACCTCTTAAATTTCCTCCAGTAAACACTTCCAAAGATTAACATCTGGAGGTCTGGGAATTAGTTTTGTGAAGGGAAATCAATCAGTAAATAACTATAGCTGGCCAACTTGAAAGAGAAGTCACTGGTTTAAATCAAGCATTTTTGTTTGCATTCCACTTGTTGGTTGTGGACGTTTCCTTGTTTTCCATTCCTCCAGCACCCTAATTTATCTATTACAAGATAATATCTATTTTCATATTCACCTTTTTTGGGGAGTGTCCTGGAAGCACATCTGTTGTCAGAGGCCTGTTTGACTGTCTTTTGGTCACCATATCTGCTTTACGTATCAGTTCTATCATCTCAGAAAGCTTATTCCTATCATGAACATGCCTTATAAATGCATGGAAGAAAGTTCATCTGCTAACATCTGATAACTGCCACGCAAAACTTCAATCCTAAAACCAGAGTTCTGAACCAGAAGAAGAGCAGTCCAACTGCAAATAAAGTACAGAACCCAGTTGTTCATACATCTTAGTATTTCTGCTACTACAAACAGTCGTGGCATGCACATCTCTGGTGAATTGAAATCAAATTTACAGTTTGGATGAAGTTCCACACCAACCAAATCCATACAACTTGTCCTCCCCCCCACCACCTAGCAGCTATTCCAGTTCTTTCACATTTAATAAGCAGTAAAAACAGTGGCTGTCTTTTATAATTTTCAGTCTGAAATTCTGATTTAAGTTTGGCTTTCCTCCGTTTCTGCAGAACGCTCTCAATCTATTTCTATATTATTTCTATCCCTTAGCATTTTTACTTTGTTCTTCTGTTTCTGCATCTGTAGTCAAGTACAGTTGAAACAAATACAAGAACATTTCTCAATTTTTTACTATTAATTCCCTAGTGTCTCAGTGACTGCGCAACCCTAGATCTAAACTGCAGCACTTCCAACTTATTACTACTAATTACCAAGTGGACTCTAATTTCTGCCTTGCTTGCCTCATGGCTCAACACCAATCTCTAACTGCAAAGGCACTTCCAGCCCACAGTAACACTGAAGGAACACATTTCACATCCTTAACCTCAATCTGAATAGTCATTGTAACAAAGACTTTACATCACTCTGTTGACAGCAGGCCTGCACTCCACCCCTGATGTGGTCAGCCAAGCCCTTTCATAAATACTAACATCATAACTCTATTTGCTTGGGGCTCAGTTTGGCCTCAGCAAATCAGTTACTGCATTACTGTGCCAATAAATAGAGAGAAAAAAAACACCCTTTCCAAAATCAGAATCTTGTGACGTATTGTTTTCACAGGTGATACATTTAGGTCAAGAGAGCCTCTGGGAAAATACCACGGAATGCTCCACAGTCACAGCAGCCCACCCAGCTGCAAGAGAAGCCCTCAGCACAATGTAATCAGCACTGGCAAAGTGTTTTCCTCAACAGCACAAAGGCGCTTGGACAGAGGAACTTCTCTGCTTACAGCTGCACAAAGTTCAAATCTTCCTTCCCTGCCACGCAGGATTCTGTAGCTGCTTTACCAGCGTTAGGGCACAAAGGCTGCAGCCTTCACTTCCCCGAGAGCACTTGTAGTTGTTCTGGTAAAAAGCAATGCAAAATAAAGGAAGAACTGAGTTCAAACAGGTCATGGCACAACTGCCTCCAATCTCTTCAGCTTGTCCATTTTCTACTGCAACTGAAGAAAAAAAAGTAAAAATCCATAAAATACACTGCAAAGTCTGACCTGCAGCTATTCCTGTTCACAAAAGGAAGCCTCTTTTCCTGGTATTCCCCATTCAGTGCCGGATACCACGGCTTTTTAAACTAGCTGGCATCAGCCCCTCAGCCCCATGAACCAACGCTCATTAACACAGCTCTGAATTGTGTCAGGGAATCTGAAAACAGGAAGGCCCTCTGCTGACTCAGCACTAATTGGGGCTCAGCCTGCCCTGCGTGCACAGCTGATAGGAGCTGCAGCAGTGCTTTGCTGCCCTCCCCTCACTGCTTCCTGCCCCAAGCTGCTGCAGCGCTGAAACAAGAAGTGATGTCACACACAGGAACCCCACAAAAGGTAACAGAGTTTTTTCTAGCTAAACGTTTAGGAAACAATGGAAGTAATTCAGCAGTATCTGTACAGAAGTGCAGAAGAAAGGGGGGGCACACATGCCCGATTTGGCCATTTCTAGCTGTCCAGGCATCACAGATGCAAGCAATCCCACTGTTTTCAAGCCTGAATAATTTAATCAATACACCAGCTGAAAATGATCCTCCTCTCAAAATGCAGCCAAAAAAAGAAGTCAGACACGAAAGATGAAGTGAAATACCTGAGTCTTTCAAGAATAAATATATATTTTTAATACTCAAAGGAAACCAAAGTTCCACTTTCAAATACATTTCTTCCTACTCCCCCCAGCCAGGCACCACAAATCCAAACGTTTACTGCCATCCATTTACAAATGCATTTTATTCTTAGTTCCCCCTGCTGCAGCTCTGGGTGTGGTTTGTCCAGGAACAGGAAAAGCTGCGCACACGCTGTTCGAAAGGACAATGAACACGAAACTGAACCCAAACCAAGGAAAAGGTTAACTTTGTGTGGGTGTCTGCTTCCACAGAACTCGACACAAAGATAGCCTCTAAAATGCATTTGTTCTAAAAGAGAAGAGACCCCATTCTTAGTCCTCAAAGATACCCAGTTATACAACACAGAGAATCTGTACCCACACTTTGCAGCACGTTCAACTGGGGATGATCTTCCTGGGCAAGCTTTCAAGATGAGTTTTCTAGCATATGAAAACCAGTGAAATAACTCTGCTTTGAGAACTAGAAGCAGAGGAGTAAGACAAAGCCATCGTGGAAATACCAAGAATGTTGAAGAAATCTGCAATCTCAGTTTCAAACTTATCCAGAGTGACACCACCCCATCTGCCCTAAACCAGCTGACAGAAGTCCCACTACACAGATAGCAAAGCCATCACAGCTGATCAACGGCAACATTAAAACATCCCAACGACAAGCTCTGTACACCAAGCTGCAAGTCACAGTTCCACTCACGTTGATGTGATGGTTCGGAAGCGCTCTTGTCCAGCTGTGTCCCAGATCTGCAGTTTCACTTTCTCTCCATTGATCTCAACTGTCCGGATTTTAAAATCCACTCCAATTGTGGTAATGTAGCTGCCTGAAAGGACAAGTGAGAACGTAAGTCTCCTTTATTCTGTGTATCTCAAAACATGCTTCTGACTCCTGTTTGGCAGCAGCTCTCAGACTGGGCAGGAGGACAACTTTTCCCCCTATCTGCTCATCTTTTAAAATGTCCTTTCAGGTTCTGGTGATTTGTGTATTTTTATCCACAGCCAATAGATTTTTTTCTAGCCATAAAACCACATCTTCCATGCCATCCTAAGAAACTGTAAGTGTTGAAAAATTATTCTTCTATTGGCAGTCAAGAGTATGCACCCAAACATCTTAAGTAACCACGCAGGCATTCTTTGTGTAAAAATTCTGAGACAAAGCTTTTCCTCAACTGCTAATGCAATTGCTTATTTTAATACAGTCTGTTCTAAGAGTTTCCTCCCAATAAATTAGTTATGTCACAAACGTGAGTGACTGAGCTACAATAGTCAATCAGCCTAAATCCCAAAGGGCCAATGGGAAGTCTGCACAGAGCACTGATTAAGCTAAAACACCCAAGCTATTTCTGGAACCATGGCAGTATTTAAATACTGTGGTACTTTCAGTGATAAGAGAAGATCAAACAGGATATAGGCCTGTAGCAAAAGCAGCAGAGCTAGAAACAATGCATCAAGCTACCAGCACAGCTACCAGCATGCAAAGGCAGCGCTACAGCTCCTTGCCAGCCAGCAGGCCTGGAGCAAACCTTGACCATTTCACTTACACAAGCCAACAAAATACTCACCTGAAAACGTGTTATCTGCAAAACGCAACAGCAAGCTGCTCTTGCCCACACCTATGACAAATAAAGACATGGAGAACCTTCAGTGCACTCATCTTGGATGTCAGGTAACAGAACAGTATTTTAACCACTCTCTGCATTTCCTTTTGGAAGTCGAAGCTTTTCTCAGCAGATATGTTAGCACCATCCCCCCTGGGCAGTCACCTCAGAACTGCCCTTGAGGATTTGATCAGCTGTCAAGTAGCACACTGCACTTACTCCTTCAGCACAGGGTTGCTATGGGTTTTGCGTCCCCCCATTTCTCCAGACCTCAGCAAGCTCAAAACAGTATTTTTAGAATGAGTTGCAGACCACGGTTCAAAGAGGCCTCAAGAGTCTAATGACCAAAAGCAATTTTATGATCCATTGGTTTACATTTGCTCAGGAAAGGTCCAAAAATGAGGACATCCTGCTAATTAACAAGTGCTCAGAACACTACTCTACACTCAGTTGAATTCCACTTGCACATCAGGCTGATATCGCTGCCCACCTCCCATTCATCTGTGCTGTGCTGAACAGCAGTGGAATTTGGACTACTTAGATAATCAGACCAGGGTTTGGTACTATAAAGCTTATGTTATCATGGCACAGTTTAACCAAACCCTGAGCCAAGCAGAGGAGCTGTTTGCTTCGGAGCATCCAAAAAAGACTTGTTCTACATTTCCCAGGAAGGACTCACACCTTTCTCAAGTTGTACCTTTAGCCAAAACATTCCATGAAACATTTTCCAATGTGCTTCGAGCATCATCCATGCTTTCCTTAAACAATTGTTTGCACCCTGACTACACCCTGCTGCATGGAAACATTTCTCACTGTTCTAGAAACAGGAATCACAAGAAATTCATTCCTGCACATCCAGCCAAGGGAATCCGGGGATCAGAATGCCTCAAAGTTATTACCTCTGTGTAACAACTCTTCTGTTGCTGTCCCTTCCACCTCACTCCTCCTCCTTCCCCCCCAAAAAAAAAAACTGCTACAGCATGAGGAGGAAATTCAAGCTCACCAGGGTGATTATCTATCGAATCTTTTCAGGTAGAAGTTATTTAAGCTAATTATTTTGATGATGTATAACTTTAAAGTTCTTCCTAACATTAATGTTCTAAAGGTAGATGTAAAGGCTATATAGAACTCCTACATATATATATAAATATACACACATATATAGAAGTTGAAGGTGGTGAGACACTGGAACAGGTTGCTCAGAGAAGCTGTGGATGCCCTGAGGTCCTGGAAGCACTCAAGGCCAGGCTGGATGGGGCTGTAAGCAATCTGGTCAGTGGGAGGTGTCCCTGCCTATAGCAGGGGGTTGGAACTGGATGATCTTAAAGGTCTCTTCCAACCCAAACCATCCTATGATTCTATGAATATTTATTCTCTGTTCACATCTGAAGAAAGCTATCAGAAAAAAATATAAAAAAAAATCCATGACAAATAAGATCAGCATTATATCAGTAAACCAGATCTCATCTGCAAAAAGTTTAAGTCATCATAAATTCAGAGAAGGTATTATTTACTGTTAAGGGGAGAGGAAAAAAAAAAAGCAATTAAAAAAACCCACGAAATCATAGTGCATGTATACTGAAGATACATCTCAGAGCTCAAAAAAGGCAGCAGAGCACCTCCCAAACTTTAACAATGCCCTGGTTATTTAGGAAGAGCTAAGCCCATGCAAAGTGCCAGTCAGCTTATAAAAAAGAAAGAAGAAAATAAGTCTTCGGCAAGCACCCTGCTTTCTGATCAAACCACCTTCGCCTCCAGCTTAATAAAAAGAAAAGAGATGCTGGAAACCACAGACGTGTCAGACCACACCACTGTGTTGAGGCTGGCCAGCACCAAGCTATGCTGCAGAGCTGCATGTGCTGCTCATGACCACTGCTCCATCAGCCCATGCACTGCAGCGTAGACTCAACCTCATCCACAGCTCTCAGCTGGCTGCCAGAGAAGAGAAGCCTCCTGAGCTCAGCGAGTTCCTTGTGCTCCAGATGACAACGATCTCTCTGAACACACACTGCCTCTGACCCGCACAGCAAGTGCTGAGAAACCACACTCTGTTTCATACTCTGCTTCCTACACAGAGTTATTTGAAGATCAGAACAGAGAAGGATAACAGGGCTCCTGGCTTGCTGGAGACAGTAAGATAAAACAAAACAGGAACGGCCTACTGACTTGGCAAAATCAAAATTAAAAGCAAATTTCTGCATCCTATCGGTTTCTAAACGCCGTTATGAGCAGTTATGAAGTAACACATGCAAAGCACAGATCATCTGTGTTATTTTTAAACATTTGGAACAACTGAGATTAACAGCAGCTTCTCCAGATGACCTGTTCTAAAAACACACAAACCTACTACCCTTGACAAATTTGCTTACAGAGGAAAGTGGATGAAACATTATCATTCACCCAGTATCAGTCCACTTCCTATTACAAGGCCTTTCTGAACACCAACAAACAAGGCAAACAGACTAATGTGTGGAAGTAGGGACAAAGCCTTACTGTTGTGGTAAGCAAAAAAAAAAAAAAAAAAAAAAAAAAAAGAAAATCAATATCTAAACAACACAGTGAGATTTAATTACAGCAACAGAGAACCTCACGCATCCAGACAATTCTCACAACACTTTTTTCCTCTCTGGATGCAGCGCAGGGACTTTGCTCAGTTCAATTCAGCTAAGACATTGCATTTAATTGTTCAAGACAAGGAGAAGCCTTCCTCAGAGTTTTCACCATCCTGTTTATCTTGCCTGAACAGTTTGGAACTCATCAGCAAGCAGCAGCATTACTGCTTTACTCAGAACGAAGCATTTGGTTTTAATAATCCACAAGTTCCCAGAAGTGCCTAGGGCTTTAAGCTGTTCTGAAGCTCTCAGCCTTTCACAGAATCACAGATTGGCCAGGGTTGGAAGGGACCTCAAGGATCATGAGTCTCCAACCCCCCTGCTACATGCAGGGCCACCAACCTCCCCATTTAATACCAGCCCAGACTGCCCAGGGCCCCATCCAATCTGGCCTTGAACATCTCCAGGGATGGGGCATCCACAACCTCTCTGGGCAGCTGTTCCAGCACCTCACCACTCTCATAGTAAAGAACTTCCCCCTGACATCCAACCTAAATCTTCCCTCCCTCAACTTAAAACCATTTTCCTTGTCCCAGGCCTTTCTTCCTATTCCTGTCTTAAAAACAGCCTTTTCCTTCTTGCAGACACAGTTTAGCATAGAATAAAATATTTTTACATACAGCAAAAGCTTCTGGAGGTGACAGCTGCCAAGAGCGAGCAATGCTGCATGCTGGGACCTGCTGCCTTATGGACCACACCTCTAGTAAAAGAAGAGGGTGGATGCCATCTCTTCCAGTTTATGGAAATGTAACTGTGAGCTGCTTGAGGGTTACCAGCACTGAATGGGACCGAGGGTGGGATCTCCCAGCCCCGCGTCCCCAGCACAAAGCACTGGGCACAACCTGAGCTCACCGCCAGCCCTCCAGAAGTTTCTGAAAGTGCAGTAGAAGCATTCAATGGTTTATTTCCAAAACGTGTAACGACTCCTTCTCTGCAGCTCTCCCAGCTATCTGTGCACGTAGCAAGGCTTCGAGCTCATCGAGGATTTAAAGAAGTGTCGAACTCCAGAACCGAGATTCCAGGCAGTCCCATGGACGGTTTGGTTAATAACGAAGAGTTAACAATGAAGAGCAAGCAGCGATTGCTGCAATGAGAGCAGCACGGCCGGGCCTTTAGCTCAGGAGGGAACCCGGCAGAGACCCGACAGACACAGCCCAGCCCGCGCCCCACACACCGACGATGACACGGCCGACGTTCGCCCACCCTCGGCCATGCCCGGCCCGCTCCCCGCCGCATCCCGCATCCTCACCGCACGGCGCTGCGGAGCCCCGCGGTCCCCACACGGCCAGAGCGGCCCCAACGCCCCCCAACGCCCCGCCGCCCCCCTCAGGCCCCGCCGCGCCCGCGCAGCCCCCGCCCCTCGCTGCCTAAGGGCCGGGGAAGGGCGAGCCGCGAGCCCTCACCGCTATCGCCGATGATAAGCAGCTTGAAGAGGTGATCGTAATCCCGGGCCATGGCCGGGAGCGGCGGGAGCGCGGCGGGAGGGAGGAGGGGGAGGGGACGGCGGCGGGCCCGGATCCACTTCCCGAACAAACAGCCGGAACTGACAGCGGCGCCAACGCGCATGCGTCTGCGCGCCGCCGTAGACCTCCAGCTGCGCCGGCACGCCGCCGCGCACGCGCAACGCCCCTCCCGTCGGCGCGTGCGCGCAGCCCGCCCAACGCGGCGCTGCGCTGCGCATGCGCGCTTTCCCTGAACTGGGTGGGGCGGGGCTGCCAGTTCGCCTCAGGCCGCCATGATGGAGCTGTGAGGGGAGCGCGCGCGCTAGGCAGTGCGCGTGGAGAGTCCGCAGAGAAATGAGAAGACAAGGCCGGGCTTATTGGCATCTTGAACCTAGGGTTCGATTCCCAGGGATTTAATCCAGAGTTCTGCTTATGTTTGGGGTGTTATCTTTGCCCTGTCACTTACGTTGGTGCTGACCTGGCTGTAGTCAAGAGCACGAGAGGTGGTGCTGTCTTCTCTGTGGTTTCTTTGCTACAAAAACATTTATTTGTGTTGGTGTTTGGTCTCCGTAGTGGTGCTGTGTTTTGGTTTAGAATACCTCAGTTATTCAGGTCTTTGTTATTTTTTGGCCTCAGCATCTCAAAAATAAGTGACAGAAGACAGCACACATCCTCCAGAATAATTACTTCACCAAATTTTGTTTAGCAGAAGTCCAAACCAAAATAATGACTTCATTTAATTACAATATGGGTAATATTAGAAACATCAGCTTTACAGCTCACTGAGGGAAGTATCTCATTAACATGCACTGGTCCTCCAAGTGAGAGCCTCATCAGCCCTGAAGAACGCAAACTTTCCCATCAGCTGAGCTACAAAGACACTTAGGATGCACCTGCTGTGAGAATCTTCTGGTGGAACCAAAGTGCTGCTTCAGATCACACCCGTGAACATTGTGAGTGTGTTCAAGGAGTTCCAACCTGCTCCTGGTCAGCTGCTTTGAGAGGGCATTGGGCTTGTTGACCTCTGAGATGGCTGCTAGCCCCAGCTATGTGCTGAGCTGTGAGTGGTCCTTACAGAATGACAGACATTTGCTGGTGGTGCTGCATTCTCCTTAATATAGGAGAGGACTAAAAAGCTGCAGATTCTTCCCTCTGGGTTTTTGCAGTAGGGTTTGATTGGGAGAAATAAGAATATTTTTAGGGTAATTGTCTCTAATCAATTCTAGAATTACATATTTCTTCTACATGGGATACTGTGGTATGGTTGTGCTGTTACATTTTTGCTATTTCTGTGCAACTCATCTGAAAACAAGCCAACCCAGTATGGCTAAAATAGCATCTCTAGGGTGAAGATAATTTTAGCATCCTCTAACAGAACACTTCTGATTGAAAACACAACTATGCATTTAGTTATAAACATTGCATGATCTTAACCTTCACAAAAGTCTTCTGGCTTTCAGAGCTCAGCCCTGTCACATCCTCCTCGTGCTGAAATCCATTTGAATGTCCTCCATCTCTCATTCCTATGCCATGGACTTTGCAGTTCATACATGTAAAACACCACACTGAGGCTGGAGCGCTACCAGACATAAGCACGTGCAGTTCTGCAGATCGATGCTCACAGAAACACTGTTGGAGAAGGGTTTGCAGCTAGCCCAAGCCCAATCCAGGCCAAAGCCAACATCTCCTGTCTATCTTACATCACAATATAGCATTTTGGCGGCCCATCAAATAACCCAACACATCCCCCTCGTGTCAGCATAACCAAGGGGAGGCCCCTTGAATCTATCATACAAACCACCAACTCAAA